TAGGAAGGGTTAGACAAGGAGAAGGCTAGCTCTAGGCTTGCAGAGTTTATTAGGGCTAGGAAGCAGTAACGTGATAAGCTTTTTAACACTAGCAGCAATTGCGTTGTCTTTAATCTTGTGTATAAGTTTATACATCTAGCTAACATAATCTTAGAACGTAAAGAGTGTATTATATTCTCTAAGAACTAAATTATAGACTTTTCTTATTAATGCTCCTATAGTCTCTTAAGACAATTTGTTATTAACTTTAACAAAATAAATAGATTTAGCAAAATAAAGCATAGAGTTAATAGACATTAAGTTTAGTATACGCACGTTCCGGGAGTTCAGGAACAGGCGATTACTGTCTTTATCCTTAATTATCTTACTAACAAACTGTGGTGCATACCTAGCGTAGATGGCCTCGCTTCTGCGGTTGTTTTCTAGGTGAACCTAGACGCAGCAACTGTAAGGCATTAAGTTTCTAATTATATGCTTAGTGCCTTTAGGGTTAATGACACACTTAGACGTATAATTGCGTTAGATTAGCACCTTAGACTAGATCTAGGCAATTTGTTTGCCTTATTTAGTAGGGCTTAGCTTGTTAGTAATAAATTTATTAAAGCAGCAGTATGTAAAGTAAAGATAGCTAATGTTAGGATTAACTAGTGTCTTATTACTGTACTTTTTATAGGGATCGCGTAGCTTGTTTGCTTTAAGGAGTTTATTAGCCTACTTATTAACTTTAGTTTACTAGATTAGACTAAGTAGGCCTCTAAAATCTAAGTATTTCTAGGGAATTAGCGTAGCAGTTATAATTATAGTCTAAGGGAGCTTAAGCTAGCAAATAGTGTAGCTAGCTATACTGTTAAAAGTTTTACAATACCTAGGAATGTAAGCATAGCCTCAGCGACCCAGAGTACATCTGCAAGCACTTACTGCCCTTCATCTAATGCGCTAGCTTAGAACATGCCTGCTAGATAACCTTTCTATTCTCTAGATAGATAGAAGTAATTAATGTCTAGGTTAATATCTATCTTTTTTAACTATAAGAGTGTGTATTGCTTAAGAAGCTAATTCTTATACATAGTAGAACTATTTTAAGTGTATAAGATGCTGTAAAGGGTAATAAGGATAACCTAAAAGTTTATCTTATTTTTAAAGTTAAAGATTAGATAGTCTTACTTAAAAGTGCTAGTAATATATTTAACTTCTTTAATCTGCTTAAGCAAGCAAGACTTATTACTAGCATAGATAATAATGTAATATCTATTAAAGAAATTCTAAGCGTTAATAGCAGCCTATTTAAATAGATAGGGTTAAGTAGCGTAGATAAACAGCTTAGGTGTAGGATAATTTTTAAGAGCCTTCTAATTCTTATTATTGTACAGCTGCTAAAGCTTAATCTTCCTCCTATTAAGATACTAGGGAGCGTTAGTGTCTAAATTAGATAGAAAAGCAACACATAAAAAATAAGGATAAGTACAGAGAGAAGAAGGAGAGAGAGAGAGAAAGAGAAAGAAGGGGGGTGTTTTAGGTTAAGTACACTAGTACCTAATCTAAAATTCCCCCCCCCTCTTTTTCCTCTTCTTCTCTTCTCTCTGTCCCTCTTTTTAGGGTCTTTAGCACTCTATAGTAATCTTTTAAATAAATAAAGTTAGTAGAACTTATAATGTTCTAGGAAAAAAGAACAGTGTTAGTTTTACTAATACTAACCTAGTTAACTAAGCACACACTATGTAGTGCAGTGTTGTCTTTTATAAATGTGTTATATTTGTCTACAATTGCAGCAGCCTCTGTGATCTGCCACCACGCAGGCGTCCGTGCGGATGTTATTCCTGGCGGTTAAGGATAGCTTCTATAGCAGACAAAATTAGTAGTTAGAGCTACTTAATAGTCCTAAGGCTAGTAGACTAGATTTAACATAAGCTCTAATGCTTTACACTTACATTTATAAAACGCTGCATTAGTCTTTAGTAAGCCTATAACACTCTTGTTTAGTAAATCCTTTTTATTCTTACTATGCATTTATGTCTAGAGTGTGTTTGCTAGTTTAGCACTGTCTTAGGGTATAGTGCAAGTAGCCTTATATTTTTAATCTGCTAGCAGCTAAGCAGCAAACGCTAACACGCTGTTAGAATATTTATCTTTAAAATGTTAGCTAATCTTCTTATTACTAAATTAAGCTAAAAGGTACAAAGTCTGCATACATAAGATGTAAATAAGTTAATTCTAATATGTAATGTTAAGCATAGCCTTTCTATTCTTGTTATAAGCATTAAATCCTAATAGAGCTTCTAGTGCAGAGGCAATAGAGCCTTGTGTAGGAGTAGACGCCTAAACCTTATTGTGCCCTAAAGAAGAAACAGGAACCTAGGTCTAGGTCTAGGTCTAGGTCTAGGTTAGCAGCAGATTAATAAGTGTTAGGGGGGTTTTTAGGTTAGGTACTAGTATGTATAGTAAAACTCTTTTTTAAGCATAATCTAACTTAAGCAGCTTATTTATTAATTAGCTAGGCTTCTTTGTCTCTCCTTTAACATTACTACTAGTGTGCAGGGTAAGCTTATATTCTAGGGTCTTATTTTTTATTATGTTGCTAGGATTAAACCTTAAGTTAGAGCAGTAGTTATCTATCTAGTCTACTTTCTTATAGTTAAGTAGGTTCTAGATATAAACCTTTTTATACACTTTATTATCTTTAAACTATATCTACTTTAGGTTTTTCTTGTCCCTATTTACATCTAGGCAGTAGAAGGATAATAGCATTACTAAAGCAGCCTTCTTTTTCTTTCTTATGTAGTCTTTACTCTAACTATAGTTATGTCCTTTCTAGAAAGTTAGACGCGCCACCCTACTACTGCTATCTCTGCCGCCTAGGATATCACGTGCAGGTGCCTCCTCTTTGTCCTCCCTTAATCTATCTAATGCAGTGCTAGAATTAGAATTTAAATTTAAATTTAAATCTAAATCTAAATCTAAATCTAAATCTAAATCTAAATTTAAATCTAAATCTAAATCTAATTTTAAATCTAAATCTAAATGTAAATTTAAATTAGAATTAGAACCTAGACTAAGCTTAAATACATTAAGTGCTTCTTTTAGCTTAGTAGGGTAGACAGTGTATTTCTTAGAGACTTATTTACTGCTAAGCGCCTTAATTTATTTTACAGCCTTAGCGCAGCTACTCCTTCTTAACTAGGTTAGTCTAGCGTAAGCCTTTAAAGTTCCTACACGCAAGATCTTAGAATTTAAGGCATTAGCTATAATAGTATCTATAGTAACATAATTACTACTATAAGGCTTAGAGTTAGCTGCTTATTTCTTAGCCTAGCTACTAAGCTGCTTAAAACACTTAATAAGATTCTATGCCTAGTTAGAGATAAAGGTCTTAAGAATACTATAACTATAAAAGAGCTTATTAGCTTATTTAAAAAAGTTAAACATAACTACTTTTAGTATAAAAGCATACATTTTAACTTCTAATAGTGTTTTAAAATTATAAAACTTTATTAGTGTGCCTTTAAAATAATAAGTTCTCTAGTATTAGTTATCTATAATAGTGTTAAAAACTGTCTACAGGTTAAGTCCTTTAGCGTTGCTAAAGTAGAAAAAATAGGCGCGCTAGAGTTAATTAGTTACTTTATAAAATTTATAATTACTCTTAAACATGTCTAGAAGCTTGCTTTAGGTTGCATTAAAATATAAAGCTAACTATATAATACTTTATGTAGCTATATATAGAATAATTTTACTAGTCTTAGTGTTTTACTTAACTACTTTAATGTTTTTTAAGTTTTAGTCTAATTTAGTAAGCTTATTAGTAATAGACTTTTTAATAGCTTTAGCTTAAGCTTACTTCTTTAGCTATTTATTTTTAAAAAATATGTTTATAGTAGGATTTAGTTTAACTTTATAGTAATCTTAAAACTTAAAGAAATAGCAAATTAAAGAAGCTAACTAGAATATAGAATTAGTGTCTAGATATAGTAAAAGGCTGTAGGTTTAGATCTAACTACACTACTTTTTAGGCTCTGCCTAACTATAGCTAGAAGATGCACTTAAATTTATAACTTTATTATAATGTTAGCTAAGCCTAAACCTAAATAAGTATAAGTTTACTAGAGAACTTAATAATATTATAAAATATATAAAATATATACTAGAGTAAAAAGTTAAGCATAAGCACTAATTAGAAAGAAGACAAGAATAAGTACTAAAAAGAAAAAAAGTTTAGCCTTAAGTACTAGTATATAAAGCTAAACCTTCTCTTTCCTCTTTATTAGCTCTAGCCTAGGCATACTGTAATAAAAAGTCTAGTAAATATAGAAAACACTTACTAAATCTTAGAGGCCTAGCCTAAATATTAGACTTAGCTGTTTCTAGCTAGTTCCTAGGCAGGTTTGTTAGAGTGCAATAGGTTGTTTCCACTGTAGTAGGTGGCAAATAGAGGTGGAGGATATAGAGAGGAGGGGAGGGGGAGGGGAGGGCTTTTAGGATAGGTACTGCCTTAAAGGGACTTAGAGAAAACGCCACACTTGCTAGAATTAGCTAATTAGAACTTTAGTACACTGCGCTAGTTAGCGCTAGCCTATAAATAACTTATAATTACTTTTTTAGTTAAAATTATTTAAATTTACTAAAATTACACCTGTCTTTGTTGTTGTTATTGTTGTTGTTGTTGCTGTTATTACTGCTGCTGCTTCTGCTGCTAGAGCAGAGAGTAGTAGATTGTAGAGGTAAAAAGAGCTTATAAGGTTACAAATAGTTGTTTATAGCTAGCGCGCGTGCTAAGCCTATATGTGGTTAGAGCATTAGCAGTGGCAAGTAGGTACCTATACTGAAACCCCCCCTCTACCCCCTAGCTATCTCCTTATCCTACACGTTAGCTAGACCTATGCTAAGCTGTTTAGCTACACGTTAGGACAATAAATAAAACCTCTAGCTAAAAATGTAATAATTGTTTTACATTAACTTTAAAAGAAAATCCTGTATAAGGTTTAGCGCATTTTACATTATAACGCATGCTCTATTACAGTGAATTTACCTGTCACGTGTGCTACTATGTATATACATGTTAAGGAGCAGACAAAGAGAGGGGGTTTAGCAATACATACTAGTACTTATACTAAACCCCCCACCTTCTCTTCCTTCCACCCTCTCTCCCTCCCCCTCCTTCTTCTCTTCCCTTCAGCCATCTCCCGCCTATAGGTTTACACTGTGGCTACACTAATCATTTCATAGATCTTACTATCATCTCTCCCTAATAATACCTGAGCAACGCTCAACCCATAGGCTATTGTAACTGTGGAATTGTCGCACGTGTCTCACGCGATATCATACCCATGTACTGCACTATTCACTCATTAGGCATAGCTCCTATCTCGTACAGTATATAGTCAGCTCAGAGCTCTATCAAGCTCCTCAGACCTTACAATACACTCGTTCAATCCACCTTGTTTGGATCTCACTACCTTGTCGACTCGCTTCCCATATAACCTTTCCTCCGCTCATGCAAGACTGGCGGGTATCGAGAATGTCGTGACTTGTTATTGCTCTCCCTTCCTTCCTCGCCTGCTTTGCCGGCGACCTCCAGACCCTCTCTAGTCGTTGGCTCGGCCATATCGCCTGCCCCTACAACCTTCTCTGCTCCTCTGCCCAGCCGCATCTTAAGCAGAATCTCTGCGGTTGTTCTATCTATCTTATCTAATTGTTCTAAAATCGTGATTTTATATTCATCCTGCTTAATATTTGCCTCCCTCTTGCCTGCTTAAATCTGTTGAATCTATCTAGCGACTTCAGCATCTTCGCCGGTCATCGGATGTGCAGCTGGCGGTAGACAGTTCGTTGGCAGATTTCGTCGCTGGGTAGTTTGTCAAGGTTCGTCCTCCTGAGAAATTAGAACCTGAACAGTCGTCCAAAGGCTAATTTCTGTAGGTGTCTTAGTAGGTACGTCTGCGGGAATCTAGGGCTCATATGCAATAAAATCAGCAAGCCCCTAAGAATGGCGTTGCCGCAGGTATTGTTGTTAATCGCGTTTCTTCCTGGCATCTGCTGCTGCTGCTGTTGTAGGCAATTTCCTTAGCCTGCCTAGAGGCTTTTTAGGGGGATTAATAGATGCTATAATGCAAACAATGTTATAATAGTTAATAATTAAAAGGCTTCTGCTGCCTATTAACACTTTTAAATTCTGAAACTGCCTAAATCTAGTTAGCGTAGTAACAGCACGCCCCTTATCACATCATCTTGTGCGCCGACGCTTACACCCCTTGCCTAAATAGCAGGCTGTAATAGCTTAGCGCAGCGGGCAGATGCCTAATAACATAGTAAATTTAATAAGGAGAAAGAAGAATCTTCTTGCTGTTAGATAAAGTTTAGAAGTACTTAACTAACTTGCGTATATCTTGCATAAGCTGAGGAGGGGACATATGGCAAACGACTTGACAAGGGAGCGAGATCCAAACAAGGTGGATTGAACGAGTGTATTGTAAGGTCTAAGGAGCTCGATAGAGCTCTGAGCTGACTATATACTGTACGAGATAGGAGCTATGCCTAATAAGTGAATAGTGCAGTACATGGGTATGATATCGCGTGAGACACGTGCGACACCACCGGGTCTCACTCTGTTAGAGGGGGGGCCTAGGAAAAGGTTACTGCAACCTTTTCCTAAACCACCCCTTCCCTAATTATCCTAGCTGCGTACTACAGTTTGCAGAGATATACTGTAGTTTACAGCAATATGCTTCTACTCACGCCGCCAGTTAATCCTAGCTAACAATCTTAGGCACCAGCCTATTACACAGGCATTCTATCTACGCCCACGTTCTAGGTATAGTATTCTATGCAATTACGTCACCCT